CCTCCCAAGTAGCTGGGACTACAGGCACGCACCGCCATGCCCAACTAATTTTTGTGTTTTTAGTAGACATGGGGTTTCACCATGTTGACCAGGCTGGTCTTGAACTCCTGGCCTGAAGTGATTATTGGCTTCGGCCTCCAAAAGTGCTGGGATTAGAGGAATGAGGCATCATACCTGGCCACCATGTACTTTAGAATAATGTGCATACTTTATTTCTTCTACGAAAGTATAAGCTTGAGGGCGGAGTCAGTGTCTAGGTGCACATTTCTGAACACCTGCTATGTGCAAAGAAATGTGCTAAGTATTGGAGACAAAATGGAGACTGAGTCCTTTCAGGACATGCTGAGGACAGGCAGATCCCTACCCCCGCCCCACTGCCCCCAGACCTTGCCATCCCATCATGTGCAAAGTACAACGTGGTATAAAGGTAGAACAGGAAGAATAGGGTAATTCTGCAATAGATCAACTTCATTGACTCAGCTTGTAGCCAGGGGTCTGTAAACGGAGGTGACCATTATTTTCACGTCCCCCCAACAGACCCACACTGAGAGATTTCTGCCAATGTGTGATGGGACTGGGTCAGGCAGAGGGATTAGATTAATAGGAAAGGAGTGAGCATGAACTCAATCCAGCCTGACAATATGAGTAGAGGAGATGCTGAGTAGGGTGGGACAGAAATTCAAGGAAGTAGTGTGGGTGGAGGTATTGGAAGAGGAACTGCAAATAAGTTTTGGGCGAAATCAAGAAATCCCTCCTTTCCACAAGCTTTTGAAGACCTACTAAGTCTAAAGCTGACTGGGTAATAGAAATATAGAGATGAATAAAATATGTTCCTTTATAGTATGGAATCAATTCCATACCCAAGGGTGTAGGCTTCCCTCAGTGAGAAGAGGAGGAGCCATGGTGTATCAGGATTTGCAAAGACTAGGAATTCAGAGGTGAATAAGTGAAGCCATTTCTAAGTGGATGACATTTCTAAGAGGCTACAGGTGGATTAGCAGGGGCTGAAGGCACCCTAGAGCACAGTCTCCAAAAGGGCGCAGCTGCAGCAGAAGCCAGTAAAGCCTTTGGGGAGGAAGAGGAGCAGGACATGGTCAGATTTTGGATTCCAACGTCAGGAAATGGTGGACAGTGTCCAGTGCTGAAGTAAGTCAAATAGCATCAAGGCAGTTGGGTTCAGCTAGAGGGCACTGTCAGTGGTTTATGAAGAGACAGAAAGGAAGGGAAGTAGAAGTCATAGGCATGCAGAGCAGGAACATAGTACATGGCTTACATTACTTTTGGGGGCAACTGAAAGCAAGTAAGTAGGGCAGAAGTATAGATCACCATTTCAAATCCCTGTCTCAAATGTGAGCGCAACGGATATTCACAGTGTCAATATCACATGTTGAAGGCTTACTGTGTTACTAGTGGTAGAAGGACCCAGAAGATTCTTTCGATTTAATTCATCTTGTTCCTGTATTGCTAAATACCACGTTTTCTATCCTTCAAACATTCTAATTTCAGTTACAATAAAATATTGTAACTGATAAATTTTACAATAAAAATATTGGCTTCAAGAGCATGGTAGCTTCCAGTTCTTCCCCAAATAACTCCACAGATGTCAACTGACACAGTTTTCAAATAGAGGAAAGAACCAAGTACAGAAAAGTGAAATCTAACAATTTAGAATAATGAGAACTGGAAAGACTGGGCTGACTAAATCCTGAAATGCAGATTTTATAAATATGTTTAAGGAATAAGGGTTTGTATTAATTTCAAGTTGCAAATGTATTGTAACGCCATATCAAAATGGATTTCAGGAAACAAGAAAATAAGTGAAAATATAAATTGAATCAATAACAGACATAGTAATCTTCATGGCTTGATGCAGAGGATTTAGTCTTTTAAATTAAACAGTAACCTTAACAGAAAACTATTGTAGTTTGTGCTGCTTACAGTCTGAGGTCAACTTCAAGGACACAAACATTGATGCCATCGGAGAGAGAGCTACTTATTTTTACATTTGTACAAGTAAACTAATTGTGAAGAACTACAGTAAACTAGATAAAATTGGAATAGCACAAAAGTAGAATATTTGTTGAGAGGACATATTAAGATCAACTTCCTTTAAAATACGAAATCCTAGTCCTTAATGACAATTTTTTGAGTTATGTTATATAAAAATTAGGTTCAAAATTCACATCTAGGCTCACTGGTTCACAAAATATACAGAAAATGAGCTTAAAATCGCAAAGCAGAACTTTCAAGGGAAAAAATCAGTTTCAAAGCAAAATGCAAGGTAAGATAAAATCAGTTTTTATAACTGAAACCACTTTAAAGGTTAAGAACAGTAGTATAAATAATAATGGTATCACCTGCAAACCTGTAGGATCTTTAGAAAGTATTCTGATTTTGGTTATTTTCACAAACTAGAACATTTAAAATGTAAGTAGATACAGGACCCTGTCTCTAAAAAAATTAAATAAACAGGCTGGGCGCAGTGGCTCACGCCTATAATCCCAGCACTTTGGGAGGCCGAGGCAGGTGGATCACGAAGTCAAGAGATCGAGACCATCCTGATCAACAAGGTGAAACCCCGTCTCTACTAAAATTCAAAAATTAGCTGGGCATGGTGGTGCACGCCTGTAGTCCCAGCTACTCGGGAGGCTGAGGCAGAAGAATTGCTTGAACCCAGGAGGCGGAGGTTGCGGTGAGCTGAGTTGGTGCCATTGCACTCCAGCCTGGGTAACAACAGCGAAACTCCGTCTCAATAAATAAATAAATAAATAAATGTAATACAGGCTGCCCCTTTCATTAACATTTCTTAGTAGATTTTATATATTTCTGGGAGCAAGTTTTCAACTGGATTTTAAACAAAGTTTTGGGGAGGTATAACTGATACACAAATTACACACTGAAAGTACAGTTTGAGAAGTTCTGACATATATACACCCTCTAGAAAGCCTCACTACAATCAAGACAGAGAACATATCCACTACCCACAAGGTGCTTCATGACACTTTGTAATCTTTACCACCTCCCCCACCAGGCAACCACTGATCTGTTTTCTGTTACTATACATTTGTCAACTAATATGTTTAATCAGCAGTTAATGATGGCATTTATTAAATACATAACTGACAGTAGAAAAAAAGTTAAGAACTATAAAAAGGTAGCTTATGTTGGTAGAAAAAACTAAAAAAGGTAATTTTTAATGATGGTAGCAGTTTAAGGTACTTATGTGAGAAAATTAAAAGTTACAAGTAAAAATTTATGAAAAAAATATTTAAGAAGTCAAGTTGATTTGTGATATTACATAGTAATTGACAGTGTTGCTAACATCTTAATATGGCTTCAGTTGATAGGGGTTGTTAGTGGTTTATTACGGCTAGGGGCTAGGATGGATCCTTGTGGCAGGATCTGTATGTGACTATTTAAACTTGTTCAAGAGCTACACATGACTAGTAGCTACCATAATGGACAGTGCAAATATAGTAATTTCCATCATTGCTACTTTAAGTGCTGATTTAGACTTCTGAAATATGTGATCTATGATGAAAATGAGGAGAGTCTAAGCTGAAGCTATGGCAATGAGATGAACAGAAGTATCTCTTTGAGATACTTAGTGTGATGAAAAGCAATGTGGAGGGGTGCCTTCTAGGTTTTTCCCTAGGGTAAAGAGATGGACCACAGAACCATTTACCAACATTAAATGTCAAAAGAGCAGGATTTGGGAAAGGGGATGAAATCAGATTTGGATCCACTGAAAGAGAGGCAACTCTGGGACAGGATAGTGGTATCTCAAAGGCTGATGGATCTCAGAATGGGATTTGTGGCAAGTCTGTGGAGACAGAGCTCCAAGGAAGGAACAGTAGCCATGGGTAAGGACTGTAGCCATGCACTAGGGTAAGGGATCTCAGGGAAAGTAGGCAGCTTGAAATGGCAGAGGCTAGCATCAGGGCCTGGAACACAGTAACATTTAGGACAGGGTTTCAAACTGTGACTATCTTTGTCATGAAATCAACAAAAGATATCTCCACCAGCATTTAAGAATAGTATACAAACATTAATGTGCTTTATATATAATTTGGGTAAAGATCTTTTCCTGTACCTTTTTAATGAACATATTTAGACACATATATGTATACTGGGTTGCAAGGTAAAACATGTATCTGGGTTGTCTTCCAATTAGTTTGAATCTCACCAGTGTATAAAATGAGCACCACTGGCCAGGCATGGTGGCTCACACTTGTAATCCCAGAACTTTGGGAGGCTGAGGCAGGCAGATCACTTGAGGTCAGGAGTTGAGAGACCAGCCTTGCCAACATGGTAAAACCCTGTCTCTACAAAAATTACAAGAAAATTAGCTGGGCATGGTGGCATGCGCCTGTAGTCTCTGCTGCTCGGGAGGCTGAGGCAGGAGAATCACTTGAACCTGGGAGGCGGAGCAGTGAACCGATTTCATACCATTGCACTTCAGCCTGGGTAACAGAGTGAGACTCTACAATCAATCAATCAATCAATAGAGCACCATAGACCAGCAACTAAATGGGGACTGGGATAGTGTCCTTTTTCTCATCATTGCCTGAAATTCTGGCACATAACAGGCAGTCAGTAAAGACATACAGCATGAAAAAATGAATCAACAAGCAAGAGAAGAGAAAAGCCAGCACGAGGGTTACTCAGAAACTAAAGGATAAGGAAAAAAAGAGAGAAATAACCCAGCATCAGATGTCAGTGATGTGGCAATACTGAGTGCATGGATGACCTTATCTTTGTAATTCCTATGAATTGGCAGTACCTGAAGCCAGATTATAGAAGTAAATGGGAAGAAAGGAAGTGAAGAAAAGACATATGATAGTGGAGACTAAGAGGCATCCGTTTGTTTTGTATTAAAGATGTAAAAGTTCAGTATGTATTCAGAAGAAGTTACATAGAAAAGGCAGGTTCTAAAAATGTGCTGTCCAGGAAAGGAACCACTAGCTACAGAGAGCTATTATTATTTTTTTTTTTGAGTGATGTTTCACTCTTGTTGACCAGGCTGGAGTGCAATGGCATGATCTCGGCTCATCTCGGCTCACCACAACCTCTGCCTCTCAAGTTCAAGTGATTCGCCTACCACAGTCTCCCGAGTAGCTGGGACTGTAGGCATGCGCCACCACACCTGGCTAATTTTTTATTTTTAGTAGAAATGGAGTTTCTCCATGTTGGCTAGGCTGGTCTCGAACTCCCAACATCAGGTGATCCACTGCCTTGGCCTCCCAAAGTGCTGGGATTACAGGTGTGAGCCACTGTGCCTGGCCAGAACTATTTAAAATAAAATTAAAAATGCAATTCCTTTATCACACTAGCTCCATTTCAAGTTCTAAATGGCCACATGTGTCTAGAAACTACCATACTGAGCACAGCTGATTAACATTTCCTTCTTTGCAGAAAGGTCTTTCGGACAGTGCTGCTCTAGACAAAAGTTTTAATTCATCATGTTTGTGCTGGCTTCAATAAAGAAGTGTAGCTTAAATCAATGCACAGCATTCCCCAGTCTCTACCCAAACATTATTCAAACGCAGCAGAAAAAAACTACTGCGGGATTATATTACAATCCATACATGACAGAATCACATTTGGTCTCAGTAGGTGACCAAAGTTAACCTTGGAAGAGGCCAATAGAGACTTTAAAGGGGCTGCTAAAGCTCAGGATGTGATATAGGGGTCTGGGCATTATAAGTATTCATAATATTTTCCCACCAAAGATCTGTGACAAATAGCAGCAGTTTGTGATTGCTAAGCATTACACTGAGAAATGGGGCTATGGGATGGGACATATGAATGACAGGTATTGGAGCATTGCTGAATAAGAAAGCCTGGAGAATTCAGGCAAGGGTGGATAGACATCTTGGGTAAAATGAGTTTATTATAGTGAAATTCTAGTTCTACAGAACTAAAGTGACTGGCAGAGAACAAATAAATCAGGTTTCTCACCTTATGTTTAAATGTTATGGTTTTGTATGGCACCTTAACAGAAAGGGCTGTGGTAGAAGACTAAGGCATATTATCCATCAGAGCATCCACTTGGACAATGTTACCCAAGATCCTGACTTACTGAAATTAATCACTTTTGTAATTTTAAAAAAAACCCTCCAATTTAATGGAAAAAATTGTTTTCAATCACCTCTTTTAAAGGAATGTATTTTGCTCTGCTCAATTAAAAAAATTGTTATTCATGGGGTGAAGGGATAAGAAATGGACTGAGAACTGTAGAACTCTTGGCACATGACTCCATCCAAACCTCTGAGTTACTAAGAGACAAACTTTACATGGCTTCTAGCAGTATAAGAGCATGTCTCTAGATTAACCTCAGCTCCCCCATTAAAATGCCTGCCTGAGAAAGCTCAATGCTACTAGGAGAATTTACTGTTTGTTCTAGCTAACACTTGATGATAGGCTCCTGACCTCCCTTTCTCAGAGCATTTATTAAGGGCTTACAATTACGAATCCTTCCTTCTTCTCTTTAGGGTGTTTACGTATCTCCTACAACTCAAGAGGTCCTTCTCAAGGACCTGAGAGCCATTCCTCTGAAATGGGATCGTCAGGAAGGGCAGAGCCTCTACCTCCCAATCTCGGTGCAAGAATAACACTCTAGGCCATGCGCAGTGGCTCACGCCTGTAATCCCAGCATTTTGGGAGGCCTAGACAGGTGGATCACCTGAGGTCAGGAGTTTGAGACCAGCCTGGCGTACTGGCGAAACCCTGTCTCTACTAAAAATACAAAAATTAGACGTGTTGGCGCGTTGGCGCGCGCCTGTAATCCTAGCTACTTGAGAAACTAAGGCAGGGGAATTGCTCGAACCGCGGGGGAGGGAGAGGGAGCGGAGGTTGCTGTGAGCCGAGATCGCGCCACTGCACTCCAGCCTCGGCAAGAGCGAAACTCCGTCTCAAGGTAGCAGATACATCTGGCCTAATTGCATTTATCCTAATCAACCTGTAACGTTTCACTTCTCTGACACTACCGAGTCCTGACCACCTTCCTTCCCCCCATTCTCCCTCTGAAATGCCCAGTCACTTCTTTACACATCGGAACAGAGGACTTTCCCTTTCTGTACGTAGTTACTGAATCAAGTTTTTTCACTGCTTTCATGTCTAGCTGGGTTCTCTTTGACAGGATCCAAAAGGGGAATTCAGTCCATTTGCCTTTCCATCTGCAGGGCAAACTTGGAGCTGGCTTTGAGGAAGTTAAGCCTTTCGTAAAAACAAAACATCCAACTCCGAAGCCCTTCCCCTTAGGCCTGGGCCCTTGCCTCACCAAGCAACACCTACAGGTGACAACCAGGCCGCTGGTTCACGGACCTAGGTAACGACACACACTGCCGTGTAACAAACTCCTGCTCATCGAGGGCATCTGAGCTGGACGCACCAGTGAATTAACCGCGTTCACGGTGACTACGTTCCTGATTAGTATTCACGGAGTAACTGGTGACCCCACCAAATGTCGTTTAAGGTGCGAGGTACAGAAGCCTTGAGGACTGGGATTTACCCATCGGAGCCGTCGGCCGTCCCTAAGGGCTCCGCCGACTTCACTGGAGTGAGGAAAGTCACTTCTGGATACAGACTTTTCCTTCGCCGGCGAAGCAGGCCAGCGCCCAGCCGGAGACCCCCGCCGCCACGGCCGGAAGTTTACCACTCACTTCCGGCGTCGCGCCCGGAAGTGGCTTCCGGCCGCAGCTCCGTAAAGCAAGATGGCACTACTCTCTCTGAGTCTATTATCTCCGTTTTATTTCTAATGTTCCTCTTCTCACAGACTTACTCCTGAGTTCCATCACTCACCCTAATTTTCTTCAGCACCACATTCTCATACTTTTCTTTCATTCAGCCTTGGTGGAGGATGGGATGGAGACAACTTGCGACTAGCCTGAGCAAAGCCGGGCACCATTTTATACGGAAACTGAAGGGAGTGCGGGGGCGTGTGGAGGACTCCAGAGGAGGCCGGGTTGGAGACAGAGCGTGGGAGGGAGGGCGGTGTTCACCGGTGATGTATTTCCGCTTCTGGTCTGCCTGGTCGTTTCTGGTTGGATCGGCTCGTTGCGGGGAGGGCGGGGGCAGATTGTTTGCAGCCTAGAATCTCCGCGGACGGGAAGGTAAACTGAGGTAAGGCTGTGACGGGGGCTTTTGCGCATGGCTGTGTAGGATGGCCGGGAGTAGGGTACTTGGGGTTGCGGAGGAGTGTGGAGTTGGAGTCGAGAGGTTGGAGAGAGAAGGCGGGGTGGGGCTGGGGGTTACAAGGTGAATTGCAGAGCCGGGCGGGGGTGCTGGGCGAGCGGGAGACCCCAGGAGGTGGAGGAGAGCCTAGGGGTGCAGAGGAAAGTCTTGAAGGCGCTGACTGGGGAGGGGCTCGGTCGAAGGAGTTGGGATGGGGGAAGAGTAGACTCTAAAGTCCTTGGAGGCTAAGGAAAGAAGTTGGGGTAGGGGCTGGTCGGAATACATGGGTGGGGGCGTGGTGAGAGTGCACTTTTTGGGAGGCTATAGGGTTGGAAGGGGCCGGTGGCTGCGGTTTTGATGCTAACGTGGCCATATACTTGGCCTTTGTTTCTCTGTAGCTCCTCAGAGACGCTCATCCCACAGCCTCAGCTCGGGCCTAGCCTTCTCTCTCCAGCTGCCACCACAGCCTGGAGGCGCCTGCCTCCACCCTCCCGAATGGTGCTCCTCCTAGCAGGCCTTGGCCCAGGGTCCAAGCCCCCTTTGCCCCCTGCCTTGGAGCTGTTGCTCCGGGTTTCTCATAGTGGACTCCCTGTGGCGGGAAGGGAAGAACTTTTGCACAGACAAGGCTTCAGCTCCAGGAACCCCACTGACAACTGGAATCTCAACCTCTAACCTAGTGTGAGGTTCTTCCCGTGCCCACCTTTTCTGCCTTTTGAGAAGAGAAACCCTTCTCCTGGCTGTCTAGAGCCCAGGAAGCCCCGGGCTGGGGCCCTGGGCCCAGCATGTCAGTCCTCTCTTGTGCATAGGGCTCTGCTCTCTCCCTGTCAGCATGGCTGAGCTCAAACCGGTTCCAGGGGGGCGGGAGACCCCACAGGGGGAGCTGCGGCCTGAAGTTGTAGAAGATGAAGTCCCTAGGAGCCCAGTCACAGAAGAGCCAGGAGGAGGTGGAAGCAGCAGTGCTGAAGCCAAACTGTCCCCAAGAGAAGAGGAAGAACTGGATCCTAGAATACAGGTGAGAAGATGAAGAGTGGGCAGAGAAGGAGAGCCCAGATGCCAGCCTTCCCAAAGAGTGTGGGATGAATGAGGGCTTAGACTTACTGTGTCCCCAGTCTGCTGGGGCAGGAAAGGAGAACAAGTTTGTTAGCAAATCATTGCCGGGTAAAGTGACAAATTCCAAGAGTTGTGTATCTAAAGTGCTGATGGAGTGCAGAGAAAGGCCTGGCCTGAGTGCTTGGGAGGCATTGCTGAAAGCTTCACTGAAGGAGCAAAGCGTCACTTGGCAGTAGCTGGAGGAGGCACACTTTAGGTCAGTGGAGGGGAGGACTGTGGTACTTCTTTCTAGATTAAGCAGAGGGGCTACCACCTTAGGGATGCTGTGTGAGAGGAGATGACTTTGATATTGGGAGATGACTTTGAATTTTGAGCTGAGTGAGGGAAGCTTTTCCCCTTTCTCACCTTTTCAGCAGTACCTTCCAGGGATGTGCAGACCACATTGCTCTGATAATGTGTTTCACTCTTGTAAAAACAGTGAGACCTTCCCAGTGTTACAAAGGTAGCATCAACTTTAGACCTATAAAGAAATTCCGTATGTTCAAGGAATTGTAACCTTTGTTGTGGCCAGTCCTTAGGCGTATACATACCCAGTCCTCAGGATGGTGGGTCTCCTGAAGGAATGGAAGAGCAGTTTATTGCCTTGGCGTGTCTACAGTCTAGTTGGTAGCACAGACAGATCTTTGTGTAGGAGACCTGGGGGTAGTCAAGAAGACCACGTGGAAGAGATGCCTGGCCAGTCAAAGCTGGGTTGCGGTGTTTCAGGGATTGGCTGGGAAGGGCTTCCTGAGGAAGCTGCTTGGACAGGTGACCACCAGGATGCTCCTGCATGTTTGGGGCCTGAGTCTGCCATTTGGTCCGGTCACATCTCCAAGACTCTGATGTTGAGGAAGTGACTCTTCTATAGGTGAGCAAGAGCATAGGAAGGCTCAAATTCCTAGGCTTCTCTGTCAGCAAACCTTTATTGGATTACTTCAGTGAGTTGGGAAGAAATCAAAGGCAGTCCTGGCATTCTTCCTTCTCTCTCCGTGTGGGTTCCTGGGAAATGTGTGTGTGTGTGTGGGTTCCTCTTCTACTGTGTCCGTGCTTATAATGGAGCAGTGGTGAGCCATTCGTTTCTGGCATGAGTCAGTCATTTATTTCTGCTGTGCCTCACAGACATTGCATTGAAAACAACCAATATCTCTTGCTAATTCTACAGATTTATCATCCTCTGAGGAAATCAGTTGTAGTGAAAAAAGCCTTGGGCTGCATTTCATGCTACCTCCAACCCCATGATTTATGATTTTTATGGAAATTTCTTTACATTTCTGAGCCTCAGTTTCTTCATCTGTAAAGTGAGCAGTTGGTTTAGGTTATTTGCACAACTTGTTCTTGCTCTGCTCTGACACATAACTATAGTTCTTTTCCTTCACAAACTCTTTTTGCTTTTTCCTTGGTGATAGTTTGTAGATAGCACTTTGGGAAAGAGCTCTCTCTCTGTTGCTTGCGGAGGAGGGCTGTGTAATGTGCATCACAGGCCTCCCTGCAGCATGCCTTGCCCTGCTCCAGAGGAGGTTTCTCCAGAGGAGAATCTACTGTGGTCTCTTTACTCGGCCTCTCCTGCTCCTGTGTATTTTTCCAGCGTCCGCATAGGCAAATGGTAGTAGTAGGAAGAGTCATACTTGCACTGTGCTGTCCAGTAGGGTGGACTAGCTGCTTGTGGCTACTTAAACACAATCAATTAAAATTAACGTAAAAATGCAGTTTCTCAGCAGACGTGGTGGCTCACGCCTGTAATCCCAGCACTTTGGGAGGCTGAGGCGGGAGGATCACCTGAGGTCAGGAGTTTGAGACCAGCCTGGCCAACATGGTGAAATCCCGTCTCTACTAAAAATACAAAAATTAGCTGGGTGTGGTGGTGGGTGTCTGTAGTCCCAGCTACTTGGGAGACTGAGGCAGGAGAATTGCTTGAACCCGGGGGGCAGAGGTTGCACTGAGATGAGATTGTGCCATGCACTCCAACCTGGGTGACAAGAGTAAAACTCCATCTCCAAAAAAAAGAAAAAAGCAGTTTTTCAACGCTATACTGACAGTGTGGAAATAGAACATTCTGTCATCCCGGACACTTCTATCAGACAAGCTCTGTGAGAGTTGGAATAGACTGAGGTAGCGTAAGATTTACTTTGCATACAGTGAACTTATAGTGTTACTGGTGTAAAAAGGGTAAACCGGACTCTGGTCTCTCTTGCTAAACTGCACAGCATGTTATAGAATGTCGTGGGTTGTGTAGGGAAGAAAGGTCTAGTAATAGCTTCCCTCATTTGATGACACAGGTGTGCCTAGGCCAGTGCTCTGACCTCAGCAGGGAGTTAGTGTCTTCTTGCTGTCTGGGAGAGGCTGCCTGGCTTGAGGGGCACCCTTCATGAAGGAGGCCGGTGGCATTTTGCCCTTCTGTGGTTGGGCTTTTCAAGACGAGGAGGAGATTGGAGTGTTTGTCTTTCGAGGTCCCTTCTCATGTTGACAGTGCACAGAACACGTTGCTCTGATCACGTGTTTCAGTGCTTTCACTGGGCATTCATTTCTCTGGATTCTCAGTGCATTTGCTGGGTTTCCATCCACAGATGCATAAAAACCCACCAAGGAGCTTCAAAAATACCCTTACTGAGCCTTGCAGACATGTGGATACTCTTAGTCTGGGTGGGGTGAGAAGGGATTCTAATGTTGCAGTCAGGGCCAAATCCACTGGGTGCAGTATATCCCAAAGGTAGGGCCCTTGTTTTGGTATTTTCTGAAGCTCCCAGAAATAGCTGACCTGGGGCTGGGATTCCTTTGCAGGCAGGCAGCTCATGGCCATTTGTGGTGGGATTGATTCCTCTGGAAGTTGGAAGGAAGTCGGCTGGTGCCTACCTACCTGGAGTGTGCTGTCCCTCCAGGGAAGGCTGCTGGCTGCGTCTCTGTGTCATGATCTTAGTGGAGTGTTTTTGAGTCCTCCAGGCTCATCCTCAGCTTTCTGAGAGGGTTCCAGTAGAGGGAAAGAGGAAAGGAGTGTGGATCTAGGATGGACCTGCATCTGCTCTGTGACTTTGTCAGCCCCCTTTAGTGGTTGCATTCTTCCTTGGATGCGACCTGCTCCTTTCTAAACTCTCTAGGGTGACTTTGCAACCTCTGTGACCTCATCTGGAAGTATGGGTTTAGCTTTCCCAGGACGGTCATCACCCTGGCCTCACTTACCATTACTTGAGTCTTTTGATGGTCTGCACTAGGTACAGTGGGAGCATCTGTAGCCTGAGTCCTCATGCCTTGGATTCAGTATCCTGGCGCCCTGGGAATTTGACTGCTGTGCCCCGGGAGGGTCACGCTCCCTGCTGGCTGCTGGCTCACTGATGATGCATGCTGACTCAGACCTTGTGGTCCCTGATTCCATTTCAGCTCAGTGCCAGGAGTCCCTGGTGAAGCAGGCCAAATGGAATGTGTGCTGACTGCCCAAAACTGTCCCAGGTCCTCAGTGGCTTTCCACTCAGCCTTTCCCTGGGTATGCCCCAGGTGGGCTATCCTGCTCCCTCCCATGCTGACCTTGCTCTCCAGGCAGCTTTGCTCCCCAGGCATCTTCCTGTCCTGTTAGAGAGAGCTTTATGACCCTGAAGGGACAGATCCCATCAGCAGATGGCTTTCTGTAAATTGCTGGAGGTGCTATTGGAATGCCAGTTCCCATAGAGAAAGATAATGCCCCTCCTGCCACTTGCCAATAGCAACATGTCTTCTGGTCCTTTTTACAGTAGGAACAACTTAAGTTGAGCCATTCAACCCTTTGATTGTCTTGTTAGGGGCTGGAAGTTGGTGACTGGAGCATTTTGTGCCGTGGAATCCAGTGGGGATTCAGTCTTGGCCTTTGGTTTGCCTACATGAACATTGCAGGGTGGCCTTTACCAACCGACCCCCTTCTCTTCTCCCTGCCATCAGTGTTGGTTGCATTTCCAAGCCCTGTCCTTTTCCTACCTAAATTACAGCACTTATATCTTTACTGAGATGTCCTTCTAATGAAGTCCTCAATCCCAGGAGGGTGGGCGCAGTGGAAAGAAAGTGAGATCAAAGGTTGGTCCTGCATTCAGACCAAGTCTGTCGTTAGTTTCCCACATCATTGTTTCTCATCTATCAAATGCAAAGGAGCTGAGAGGGAATATTCCAGCAGGAGATGCCGAAAGAGCTGGTCACTCCTCTCCCAGATAGCCTGAAAGCCCCTGTAAGGCAAGTCCAGCCACAGGGAGATAAGTTGCCCTTTACCTTGACAGACATTGCCTTTTTAGGGCCTGTTAGGGTGATCCTGTCAGTTGATGGCGATGTCCCTGTTAGGAAGACACTGTGAAACTTGGAGTTCTGTGTGTCTGGTAGTGGGGTGCTGACCCTGTGCCTCCTCTGGGGTCCTGGCCTGTGTTGGCTGCCTGTACTTCCAGAATGCTTTCTTATCTTATGGACACTGGGTTGTGTGACGCTGTAGATGCATCTTCCTAATACAGCAACCTCTAGACCTTTGCCACCCAACACAGGAGTCACACGCCACTGTCTAGGTTGAGATGTGTCCTAACAATCAATTGCATATGGATTTTGAATACTTAGTTTAAAAAGGGATAAGTATGGATAATAATATTACTTTATGCTGATTGCATGTTAAAATGATATTTTGGATATATTGAGTTAAATGAATTATAATTTCACCCATTTTTTTTTTTTTTTACTTTAAAAAACATGGCTTTAAGAATTAAAAATTCCATGTGTACTCCCTGTTAGATTTCTGTTGAATAGATCTCTTCAAGAAAGTTTAGAGCAGGCTTGTTCAACTTGTGGCCTGTGACCACATGCAGCCCAGGATGGCTTTGAATGTGGCCCAATGCAAATTTGTAAACTGTCTTAAAACATGAGATTTTTTTTGCAGTTTTTTTTGAGACAGAGTCTTGCTCTCTCACCCAGGCTGGAGTGCAGTGGCGTGATCTCGGCTCACTGCAGCCTCCACCTTCCAGGTTTAAGCAAGTCTCCTGACTCAGCCTCCTCAGTAGCTGAGACTATAGGTGTGCGCCACCACACCTGGCTATTTTTTTATTATTTTCGTTTTTATTTTTTTTGAGATGGAGTCTCACTCCGTTGCCCAGGCTGGAGTGCAGTGGCGCAATCTTGGCTCACTGCAACCTCTGCCTCCCAGTTCAAGCAATTCTCCTGTCTCTGTCTCCTCAGTAGATAGGACTACAAGCGCCTGTCACTATGCCTGGCTAATTTTTGTATTTTTAGTAGAGGCGGGTTTCACCTTGTTGGTCAGGCTGGTGTCTTGTACTCCTAACCTCAGGTGATCCGCCCACCTCGGCCTCCCAAAGTGCTGGGATTACAGGCGTGAGCCGCTGCTCCCGGCTGCGATTTTTTTTTTTTTAGCTCATCAGCTATAGTTAGTATGTTTTATGTGTGGCCCAAGACAGTTCTTCTTCCAGTGTGGTCCAGGGAAGCCAGAAGATTGGACACCCCTAGTTTAGAGCCAGATTTGTGGCCTCCTTGAGGCAGGATCTACGCTGTTGTAAGTGTGCACATTTTCATATCCTCATTCCATTACAGGTTTCCACCTTTGTGTTCTTCCTTTTACTGTAATTAATGTGTCTAACTGGCTTCCTATATTCTTACTTGCTGACCTGAATCTTTTCAGGATCAAGGCAGGGGGCGGGAGGAGTATAGAAGGGACTAAAAGGGAGATCATGCTTTTCAGCCCGACTCCCTCACTGGCTTGCCATGAGGCCCAAACGAAGTGAGTGGGAACCGACATCACGGCCGTGTGAAGTGACTGTGGTATTGCTGCCAAGTGCAAGTCATGGATCTGGGCAGCAGGCAGATGCTGGGCTGGGTCGCTCTAGCCTGTCAAGCTTCCTCTCCGGAGACAGCAGGGGCTGGTGAAGGCAAATCCTATGGCGAGGCACCGGGTATTTCCTGGTGTAAGGCCCTTGGCACAGACCAGCACTGCTCCTCAGTAGTGTCCTTAGCTCACCAGGGTCTCTGGGAATGCTTCTGTTTTCTCGGGCAGGGGAGGATGGCTTGAGGCCAGCACCCCTCTCAGCTGTCTGCCGCTTCATGGAAATCCCAGGATGGTTCTATTGCTTTTCTCTCCAGTCCTTCCAGGGACCAGGAAGGCACTCAAACCAGCTTGACTGGCAACTTCTCCTCAGGACTCTCCCTCTCTCCAGCAGGAGCTGCTGTATAGGGACCTGGGGTCATGGTCACCCATTGCCCAAGGAGGCCAGAAGGTTTCTCGGGCTCTCTACACTTTCCTGATCTTGACCTTAGTCACCCACCAGGCCCTTGTGATTATGCATCCCACGTTTCCTTGCAGTCTGCTTTGCCACCAGGAATACTATAGACAGCTTCCACCTTTGTTTTTGAGTCTCGCTGTGTTGCCCCGGCTGGAGTGCAGTGGTACAATCGTAGCTCACTGCAACCTCTGCCCCCCAGGTTCAAGTGAGTCTCGTGCCTTAGCCTCCCAAGTTGCTGGTATTACAGGCATGCGCTTCCACACCCAGCTAACTTTTATATTTTTGGTAGAGACAGGGCTTCACCATGTTGACCAGGCTGGTCTTGAATTATAGGTGTGAGCCGCTACACCCGTCCCACCCTCCGCTTTTATCTCTTTGGTCCCTCTAGGCTTTCTTTACATTGGCACCAGGCTCTCAGAGACCCATTTGCCATTGTTAAAAGGCCTGGTACTCCTGTGGGAGGGAGCACCAGGCCTTGCCAACCTTCTCACCTGCCAACTTGTCTGCTCAGGGTACCTTTGGTTCCTTGCCCTCTTCTTCTTCACTGGCACTGTTTTTTCTTCTTAAGACAGATTCTCTCTGTCACCCAGAATGGAGTACCCTGACGTGGTCTCAGCTCACTGCAGCCTCTGCCTCCCAGGTTCAAGTGATTCTCCTTCCTCAGCCTCCCGAGTAGCTGGGATAACAGGTGCACGCTACCACACCCAGCTTAATTTTTGTATTTCTAGAAGAGGCGGGGTTTCACCATGTTGCCCAGGCTGGTTTCAAACTCCTGACCTCATGTGATCTGCCTGCCTTGGCCTCCCAAAAGGCTGGGATTATAGGCATGAGCTACTGTGCCTGGCCATTCTCTGGCACTTTGGGTCTATGAAGTCCTCGCAGCTGTGGAGCAACTGTTCCAGGCATCCTGCCCTGACCTTCTGCTGCCCAGGCAGGTGACCTTGCTGCCCACAGGGCACCCACACCCACCACTCACAAGGCTGCACATACTGCCCAGGGCCTACTTCTGACTTGCTGGGTTTCCTCACCAGGCTGTAAGCTGCCATCTCTGTGTCCAGAATTCTCAGGTCTCTTGGCCCTGAGAGGTGATAAGTGTGTAGTAAACATGTGCTGGCTGAGTGGCCCTGCCCTGGCCCAGGTGGCCATCCTCTCGCAGGGAGGGAGCCTTCAGGTCCAAGGAGACTCCTTTAGTTTGAGGAAGTGGTGCGATGTGATGGAGAGAGTGAGGTTCACCACAACTTCACTTTGCACATATTAGTGTTGCGTCCTTCAAACCTCAATGTCTTCCTCCTTAAAACGGAGGTTTTACTACCCAGAACATAGTGAAGTTGTGAGGATTGGATATGCCAGGTCCCTGATGGACAAGGAAGCATTTGGCAGCCTCCTCCTCCAAATCTTCTCTTTCCTTTACTGAGTGTTTCACCTCCTTTCCCTGGGCGAGTGAGGCTTTCTCTCTCTGCCCCTTGCTCCTGCCTTGCACGGTTCACTCAAGTGCTTCCTTGCACTGCACTAATTTGCCACTTCTCTCTGTGACAGGAAGAGCTGGAGCACCTGAACCAGGCCAGCGAGGAGATCAACCAGGTGGAGCTACAGCTAGATGTGAGTGTCCTTTTCTTCATGTGCTTGGGCTGGTCCTTGGAAGTGTCTCCATCTGTCTCTTTCCTAGCTTGAGGCAGTGGCAGTGGCAGTGGGAGGGGTGTGTCTGAGAAACAGGAGGGACTGGGACCCAAACATGTGCTTTCCTCTGCCTTGTTCCTTTCCAGGAGGCCAGGACCACCTATCGGAGAATCCTGCAGGAGTCGGCAAGGAAGCTGAATACACAGGGCTCCCACTTGGGGAGCTGCATCGAGAAAGCGCGGCCCTACTATGAGGCTCGGCGGCTGGCTAAGGAGGTGGGGCTGGCTGACCCATGTTTGAGGAAGGCTACATGCTGAGCCTGGCCCTGGATTCTTCTGTCTCCGTGTGGAGTGAGAGACAAAACGCCAGACCTCAGGGCAGAGCCCTGGGCTAGACCTGGCTGGTCTGAACCAGCTCTGTGGGCTGAGGAGGTTCCTTTACCACCGTGGGCCCTGGGCTCATGGTGTATAAAATGGTGAGGGTAGGTGTGGGAGAACATGTGGTTCAACCCTGCTTATGAGTATAAGGAACCAGGCTTTAGGCTTTATCAGATATACCAGTTCTAACATCCCACTGTTTTCATCTTCTCCCATTTCCTTTTCCCTTTGGTTCATGTCTCTCTTCTGAATCTTTTCTTTGCTTACTCCTCACTGTAAGCATCCCACACCTTTTCCCCATCCCACACCTTCTTATTCTTCTTTTTTTTTTTTGAGACAGAGTTTCGCTGCTACCCAGACTGGGGTGCAATGGCATGATCTCGACTCACCGCAACCTCCACCTTCTGGGTTCAAGCAGTTCTCCTGCTTCAGCCTCCCAAGTAACTGGGACTACAGGCGCACACCACCGTGCCCAGCTAATTTTTGTATTTTTAGTAGAGACGGGGTTTCACCTTGTTGACCAGGGTGGTCTCGATTTCTTGACCTTGTGATCCACCTGCCTCGGCCTCCCAAAGTGCTGGGATTGTAGGCATGAGCCACCGCGCCTGGCCACACCTTTCTATTCTTTAACAAATTATTTTTAACCAATAATATGTGTTCACCATTGGAAAAACATAATAAAACAAGAAGAAAACCAGAATCACCCCAAATCCTACCATGCACATTTCATGCATTTTGTTCCTGGGGATTTGGTGATAGATAAAGAGACAACTGCCTTGGAAGAACAGTTTATTCCCAAGAGGAGGGGACATACTGTGCCATGCGGGGCCACATTGGGAAGCAACCAGGGTCTGTCAGGGTGGAAGAAGTGAAGGAGAAAGCATAGCACAGAGCCCCATTGCGGTTTTTGTGGAAAGGAGTGGCTGAGACAGGGTGGGCAAGTTTGAGTAGGTTTAGGATTGGATAGTGTGAAAAATTTTGCTAGGCCCTGGGCTATACAGGTGGACTCTAATTATCTAGTACCTGGCCCTGGGAAGACTTAGGGCAGAGGAAATACTGGTTTGGTGGGTTGAGAGGTGGGTAAAGAAGGAAGCTGGGGATCCGGGCTTTGGACTGGTTGGTTGGTTTGCACACGGAAGGCACATTTACAGGGGAGTTTACTGTCTCTAGGAATTAGCCTTGGAAGGGGCAGTTTCTCCTTGGCCAGCAAGGTCCCCCAAGACGTCAAAGTGTCATAAAGTATAGAAAATAAAAAATATGATTAAGGCAGCACAGATAACCCTGTGTGCTGTCTTAATCACATTTTTGTGTGCGTGGATATGTTCTGCCAAAATGGGGTTACACAGTATGTGTTATTTTGTTCTTTTATTTTCCTTAGCATTATGACATAGTTCCATGTCAATAAATATGCATCCATGCCATCATTTTAGAGGACTGCTTAATTAATATTTTATTTTTTTAGGAGATGGGGTCTTGCTTTGTTTCCCAGGCCACAGTGTAATGGTGTGATTATAGCTGACTGTAACCTCAAACTCCTAGGCTCAAATAATCCTCCTCCCTCAGCTTCACGAGTAGATGCGGTCAAGGCAGAAGCCACTGTGCCCAGCTTATCTTCTTATATTAGATGTGCTTTTATTTAGCCAATGTTCTATAACTGAAAAGTAAGGTTTGTTTCATTTTTCACTTGGTTAGTATGGCTGTGATGAATATCTCAGGACTTGTCTGATTATTTCCTTCAGCTTTCCTGCTGGACATAGAATTGATGGTCTCAAGGTCATATTTTCTGTAAGATTCTGTCCATGTCGCTAACCACCTTACAACTAAAATGGTTTGTGTTTTCCTTTGTTTTCCCTAGGGCAAAAGGCTAACAGCCTTTGGGAGTGCTGGATTTCACACACCTACCCTCCACTGGCAACGTTTTTATTTCTTCTAGTCCATATCCTTATGAAATATTCTTTATAGAATGTTGCTTCCTTGGCATTTCTCCTCAGCACAGTTTGGGAAGTGCAGCCGACATTGCTAGTAGGCCTTCCTCCTTCTCTGTCCTCACATCCGTAATGGGTCTCCATGGGCAGCTGGGATCCCTCAGGGTTCCCCATCCTGATACCCCTCTCCCCCTAGGCTCAGCAGGAGACACAGAAGGCAGCACTGCGCTACGAGCGGGCTGTGAGCATGCACAACGCTGCTCGGGAAATGGTGTTTGTGGCTGAGCAGGGCGTCATGGCCGACAAGAACCGACTGGACCCCACATGGCAGGAGATGCTGAACCATGCCACCTGCAAGGTGAGCCGGGCGGTGCCGGCAGATCCCTTCGTTGGTTCTTCTCCATCCTTTGCTATGCCTTTATCACCTCACCTCCTCACTGTCTCCCCCATTCTCGCCTTCTTTCAATTTTGATTCTGTTTCAGGTAAAACCTGTTCCTAGTTTTCTGTCCTGTTTGGCCTCCAGTGCTTTCCATATTCCATTTCCCTCTGAGAATGTTGTCCTTGGCTCTTCTGGAACGTTTGCCTCCAGGTGTGGGAGTAGCCCAGTCCATGTCTGGTGGATACTCTGGATTCAGCATTCACGTTTTGTTATGTTTAGCTATGTGACTCCTTGCGTCTGTTTTCAGAATATGTTCCCTTTCCTGCTTTTAAGCTCTGATGATATCTTGAGTTTTGAAGTATAATTTATGTATCATTTCCAAGCTCCTAAAAGGGACTGGGGAGTGGAAGGATCTCTGGCATTGGCCCAGTCTGCCACCTGCAGCTCACACAGGGCAAGTGTCAGCTCCTCAGGGAGTGGTTGTGTCTTGTGATTCTTCATCTGCCCCTGGCACAGAACAGGCACCTCACTTGTACTCTAGAGCTTATGCAAATGCGAGTACACAGTATTGGGGGCGGGGTGGGGGATGGTGCACAGTCTAGAGCGACATCCGAGTAGGGAGCAGGTGAGGGCCCCAGCCACCGTGTCTACCAGGACAAATGGACCAACCGTACAGCGCCCTGGGCAGAAGCACATCGGAGCCCAATTTGTCCCGGATTATGCGCGCGTGGGGTTTGGAGACCTGGGGAACCAGTGCACAGTTGTGGCTCCCCACATGGCTCTTCTCATTCCCTGATCCCTAGCCCTTGGCACTGAGGGCTCCCTGAAGAGAATGGCTGCTGCAGATGTGTGATGTGCTGATACACATTCTTTCGACACTCCCCAGTGATTGAATGGGTGCCAGCATCCCGTTCCTGGTGGTAGCAAAGCTGAGTGGCCAGTGGCATGGTGTCAGTAGGCAAGAACATGGGGGAGAGATGGCTCAGAGGCTGGTGCCTGCGATGTTGGCCTCGACGGTCAGGCAGCAGACCCAGAAGAGACAGAAGGAAGCTCTCTGGAGGCTCCCAGACCCTCTGTTCCCCGGCGTGTCTCGGGCTCTGTACGCAGTTGGGGGTCTGCAGCCGATGCTCCTGTTTGGGTCCCCCCCCCAGGGCAGTGTTGAGATTGGCGGCCTGGGGCAGATGCCAGAGACTGAACATGGGTCCCCACTCAATGATGTGTCCCCTGGGTCAGGTGAATGAGGCGGAGGAAGAGCGGCTTCGCGGTGAGCGGGAGCACCAGCGGGTCACACGGCTGTGCCAGCAGGCGGAGGCTCGGGTCCAAGCCCTGCAGAAGACCCTCCGGAGGGCCATTGGCAAGAGCCGCCCCTACTTTGAGCTCAAGGCCCAGTTCAGCCAGATCCTGGAGGTAGCTGAGGGGCAAAGGGGAGGGAAAATGGGCAGGAGGGGGTGCAGGCCGGGTCAGGCATAGAGGGTGGGGGCAGCTGGAGGGGAGGCTGGTCGGCCTCTCTGGACCATCTTGGTGAGTGGCCAGGGTGAGGCCTCCAGCCCTGCTGGGGAAGGGCGGTGGCACACATGCTCAAAATGACCTTGCAGGAGTGGGTGGCAGGGACGGGGGCTACTGATGTTAGAGAATGTAGTTGGAAGAAGGGAGGTAAACGAGAAAAAAACCTGGTGGGAGCCCAGTGATGGGGAAGAAGCAGGCACGTGGTGAAAGGGAGAGTGCAGAGAGGATGAAGGGCAGGCACTGGCCGAGAGGAAGGCTCTAGAAGGTGGGGCTCAGGTCAGGAGCAGGATTGCTGGGGAGGAACAGCCTGAGGATAGAGTGGAGCTGGGAAGAGTGTCGTGGGTCTTCCCAGCTGTCCAGGTCGTCTGTCTGGGAGATGAGGCCTCAGTGCCGTGTGCTGAGTAGGGTGGAGAGGTGCTCCACGGGTCATCTCTCTCTGTTCTGCCCTCGGCAGGAGCACAAGGCCAAGGTGACAGAACTGGAGCAGCAGGTGGCTCAGGCCAAGACACGCTACTCCGTGGCCCTTCGCAACCTGGAGCAGATCAGCGAGCAGATTCACGCTAGGCGCCGCGGGGGTCTGCCTCCCCACCCCCTGGACGCTCGGCGCTCCTCCCCTGTGGGGGCTGAGGCGGGACCTGAGGACTTAGAGGACGGAGACAGCGGGATTGAGGGGGCCGAGGGTGCAGGGCTGGAAGAGGGCAGCAGCCTGGAGCCTGGGCCCGCCCCCGACACCGACACCCTGAGTCTGCTTAGCCTGCGCACCGTGGCTTCAGACCTGCAGAAGTGCGACTCGGTGGAACACTTGCGCGGCCTCTCGGACCACGTCAGCCTGGATGGCCAAGAGCTGGGAACCCGGAGTGGAGGGCGCCGGGGCAGCGACAGTGGGGTCCGTGGGGGTCGGCACCAGCGCAGTGTCAGCCTGTAGCCTGGGGACCAGGGTGACTGGCTTGGATCTGCTACCGTGGGCCAATTGGGGCCCTCTCCCCGAGGTCCCTTCTCCAGTGCTTCCCTGGGAGAGGCCAGCTGTGTTTGAGCCCTCTGTGTCTGCCCTGGCTTTCTCACAGCCTCCCCTGCCCCTCAGCAGGCAGCTCTCTTGGCCTTACCCATTCAGAAGGCTTGCTCTCGGGCTCTGCCTGCCTTGCCCTGCTGGCTCATCACAGTCTGCAGAGCGTTGAACCTTTGCTCTCCCTTTCTTCTGCTTCCATCTGGCTTTTTTCCCTCAGGGAACTTGGTCTAGAAGGCCCTAGGAAACTCATCAGGAGAAATTGGGTGCCGGCTGAGTACCCTTGCCGGAGGGGGTGGAAAAGTGCCCCTCCGTTGCTTTCCAGCCCTGCCCCCTTCCCAACGCAACTCTGGAGGGCACCCTAGGTACGCTACTGAACGCTGTGCCCCTGTCCTGTTTCAGCTGGCCCATGTATAACCTGTAAGGTGTACTGTGTGCCTCTGGAAGACACCACCCTTCCCTTCAGCATTCCCTTTCGATACCTGACCACTCTGCCATGTGTGCCCCGAAGCAGAACTTACAGGACCTGACCCAACCCCATTGTCAACATAGGGAACGTCACCAACTCCAGACTGACTCCTGTGGGTATGGGGTTTCCCCAGCTGGGCTGGGTCTTTCACATTGTCAAGGTGCTAGTGGGTACCTCACAGGCCTGGTGTTGGGGTGAAGTTATGATGAGGTCCTGAAGGCGCAGGCCCCTGTCATTCCCACCCTCACACTCCTGCTGCACAGCTGTGTTTACTTTTTCTGGATAGAGGATGCTGAACTGACTCAGCACCCTCCTGCAGGGTGGGGTTAGGGAATTTGGTGCTCAATTGCTCTCCCTTGCTCTTCCCCAAACTAAACAATACTTACTGCAGGATCCCTTGGGGCATGCTCAAGCTTGTCTGCCAACCCTCTTCCTTTGTTACTGGAGGGGTTGGCCTGGGGTGAAAAGTACTGCCCTCTGCAGGGAGCGGCTCCAGCTGCCTGGCAGTGCTCCCAGACAGTAGGGAAGCCACACCAGGTCTGGGTGCCTGGGAGGATGGGCCCTTCCTTTGGTCCCCAGGAGAGTGGAGAGCTCTCGTCTAGGCCCGTGTTCTGCCGGTGACGGGGATGAATGGGCATCTGCACCCTGCACAGGTGTCTCCAGGTTGAGGGTGGTTGGTCACAATGAGAACCTCGGCGTTTGAGGTGGCCTTGGGCAGAGAGCAGCGAGGGAGGGAGGGTGTGGGTGTGCAAGCGTGCATGTGCTGGTGTGTAAGGGGGAAAGGGTCTTCCCTGGTTTTATTTAAATAAAGTAGTTTATGTAACAGTTAACATCTACTGTCCTTGCTGGAGGAAGAACAAAAGGACAAAGACGAGGCAAGGGTTGGGGGAGGGAAGAGCAGGGTGAGGCGGCAGGCTCTTTAGATGGTGTGGTCAGGGAAGGGAGGTGAAGGACCAGCTGGAGCGAGCCTTGCTGTGCATGCTCGTGGGGTGTGCAAGGACACAGGGCTGGGATGGTCATGCATAGGGCAAGTGTAGAGAAGCAGGGGAGGAGTTGGTGCCTCATGGGGCTATGCTGTGTGAGGTGACGGGTGCCAGGAGAGGGTTTGGTACAAAGGGGCCTGCAGGGTGGAGAGGGCTCTAGGTCTGAGCTAAGAGATGAGAGTCCCAGAGGGGTGGGATCCTAGATGTGTTTAGATGTGAACATGAAGGTAGAGAAGGGACAAAAGTAGTGATGCCAGATTTATCAGATAATACAGTGTGCCCACGTAAATTTCAGGTAGGCAGTGCTTTTTGTCCACTGCAGAGTTTAGGACATACATTATGAATTATCCATCGTGTCTCAAAGTAAAACCCAGATAGAAGGTGACTCCCAAGTCGGGGCTTAACTGGAGGGGTTTGGGGGCACTTGGACTCACAGGTGGGAGATCGGATAGGGACGTGAACTTCAGGAGCTTTGAAGAAGAGCAAAGGCCTTGTTTAGCCTGAGCTATGCTTGTGGTGTGCCTGTATTAGGAGTTGAGAAGAGGTCAGCCAAGGGGAGAAGAAGGTGCTGGCAGGGAAGAAGACTGGAAACCTTGGAGGTCAAGGGGCAGGGTGAAGGCCAAGAATTGGAGGCACACACTCAGCAGTGACCCTGGTGGCTATGGGTGCCATTTGAGGGGCCATCTAGGCCGCTTTGTACCGAGCACTCATTTGGACAGCTGCTGCCCAGGATTTGAGATTGCCTTCCTGACTTGGCAGATGGATGTCTAAACATTTTATTACTAGAAAACCTGCTGCGAAAATGCATGGCTGATGTTTTTGGGTGAGTGGGCTTTAAATTTTTAAAATTATATATATATATATATATATGAGGTATACAACATGCTATTTTGATGTACATAATGAAATAGCTATCAAATTGGCATATCCATCATTTTGCATAGTTACCTCCACCCCACCACCTAAAATCTACCCTCAGCAAATTTTTAGTCTATAATACAGTATTATAGTCCTAATGAGTGGGCTTTCTGAGGTGATATAGTGTTGGACTTCCCTATCCAGTCACTGGCAGGCAGGACCTGTAAGGCTGCTGGTACAGAAGAGCCCCAGAAAAGAAGGGCAATGCCATGCACATGCTGTTTCTCCTTGCAAAATCACCTGCAAGATAAGGCAGGCAGGAAGAGAGACCAGGAGGGTTAGAGCCAGTGGCACTTCTAAGGAGAGGAAAACAAGCCACCACACTCCCTCTCTCCCACCTAGTCCCAGCAGCTTCCTCCCCCAGTGCATTCCACATGCCAGGAACACCCCTAATGAATCTTCACAACAATGCTGTGATTTCTGTTCCACAGGGAGAAAATATGGCATCGGCGACGTATGATTTCCTTTCCACAGTGAGAAGATAAGGCACAGTGGGGGCACTCAGCGTTCCAGAAGGTAACGGCCACAGCTCCCACTAGGCACTTGGACTCGAGTCCAAACACTTGCGCCCTGGAGCTCACAGGAGATGAAGAAGGGAGGCAGTCATCTCCAAGGGAGTTTTGCTGGGAAGAAGGGCTGAGAAGTGGGAATATTGTTTTTCAGCTTTCCTTGCCAGCAAAGAGGGTCCAGAAACTTTGTTTAAGGTGAGCAAGTGATGGTCAAGCTGTGAGGGGCATAGGGCCTTGCCCCCCACTCCTGTACCAAGTCGTGTTATACGTTAGTCACGCTGGCTCGTTGGCAATGAATTATTCTGATCTTCATCTCCCTGAAGTGTGGGGCTGGGGCCTTAATCTGCCCAACACCTGACACGCCCTGCACCAACAGATGCTCGGGAAATGTGCTTTTGCTTCTTGCTCGGTCTCAGCCCACACCTGTATCAGGTGGCTTTATCAATTCAGCAAGTAGGAGGTCAGGACCTGGTGATGCACAATCCCAGGGTCACATCTCTACGGAAATGTTCAGATTTCATTACGCTTCAGTTTTATCACCAATAAAATGGGAGCATCGGAGCTACAGCAAGTCTTGTTAGCACTTCTTTGCAGCACCTTCAGGGTGCTTAACCCACGGAGGCTTCCTCCCATGGTGTGACAGACAAGGAGACTGTAAAAGGGTGGTGTTTCCCTACTTCTCTGGATGTGATATTTGACAGGCATGACAACCCCACTGCCTTTTAAAAATTTATATTTTTAATTTTCATTTTATTATCAGACAGGGTTTTTACTGTGTTGCCCAGACTGGGGTGCACTGGTGCAGTCATAATTTATTGCAGCCTGGGACTACTGGGCTCACGCAATCTTTCTGCCTCAGCCTCCCTTGTAGCTAGGACCACAGATGCACACCACCACACCCTGTTAATTTTTAACGTAACTTTTTTTTTCTACAGAGACATATTGCAATGTTGTCCAGAACTCTTGGACTTAAGCAGTCCTCCCACCTTGACCTCCCAAAATGCTGGGATTACAGGCTTGAACCACGGCTCTGTGCCCATCCCCCACCCCTTTATTTTTTGTGTGGCACTTGCTCTAGCCCCGACTGGAGTGCAGTGACACGATCTCGGCTCACTGCAAACTCGACCTTTCCGGCTCAAGAGATCCTCCCAGCTCAGCTTACCACGTAGCTGGGACTACAGGTGTGTGCCTCCATGCCCGGATAATTTTTGTATTTTTTTTTTTTTTTTTTTTTTGAGACGGAGTTTTGCTCTTGTTACCCAGGCTGGAGTGCAATGGCATGATCTCAGCTCACCGCAACCTCCGTCTCCTGGGTTCAGGCAATTCTCCTGCCTCAGCCTCTGGAGTAGCTGGGATTACAGGTGCCACCATGCCCGGGTAATTTTTTTTTTTTTTTTTTGAGAAGGAGTTTCGCTCTTGTTACCCAGGCTGTGCAATGGTGCCATCTTGGCTCACCGCAACCTCCGCCTCCTGGATTCAGGCAATTCTCCTGCCTCAGCCTCCCAAGTAGCTGGGATTACAGGCACGTGCCACCATGCCCAGCTAATTTTTGTATTTTTAGTAGAGATGGGGTTTCACCTTGTTGACCAGGATGGTCTCGATCTCTTGACCTCATGATTCATCCATCTCGGCCTCCCAAAGTGCTGGGATTATAGGCGTGAGCCACCGTGCCCAGCCAATTTTTGTGTTCTTTTAGAGATGGGGTTTCCCTGTGTTGTCCGCAGGTGGTCTTGAACTCCTGGGTGTAAACGATCCAAGTACCTCAGCCTGCCAGATTGCTATTGCTGGGATTACAGGCATGAGCCACCATCCCTAGTTATACTCTCAGCTTTTAAACATCTTTTTAAATTGACATATTGCAATTGTATGTATTTATGGGGTGTGGAATCAACCCACCTGTAGATGCTCTTACTCTGCCTGACCAAAAGAGGGGGAAATGGCCTTCTTGGGCTGTCAAGGTCTTGCTATGTCAGCAGGGGGCAGCAGCTGCAAGAAAGTGGGCAGAGCCTGTGGCCTAAGTTTCCTTGTGCGCATTCCGTGTTCACCCTCCAGACCTGTGTGGTCAGCCTCATGGACACTTTGAAGAAGGGCCTGGAAAACTGCACATAGAAGGGTGGGGGTGTTTATACGTCAGAATGGAACCCTCTCTGTACTTCTGTGTCCTCGGAATCACCTGCCATGTGTGAGAGCTGGCTCAAGTCTGCAGTGCAGCTGGTCTTTTGAGGTCGATGTTGGATATCTGAAGATGGCGCCCTGTTCTCAGAGCTCACCTCCTTCCTTGGCCTCCCTAGCACCTTTTCCCTCTCCCTTTTCACAGCCTCTTTAGAAATTTCTCCACCCATGTCTGCTCACCATTCCTGAGCCCACACTGCTCATGCCCTGGGATGAGGGAACCAGGAGACCATAAACTGGCACAAATGGATGTGGGTGGTTTGCTAAGAAATGTTCTCCAGAATCACTCAGTGTGCAAACACTGTGGCAGCCTGTTTAGGAACACTACAAACTCCAATGCTGTGGGTGAGTCGTCCAGGTGAGGAATCCAGGTATGCACAGGTGCTTCAGGGCAGTGAAAAATAGATAACCAGGCCAGGAGTGATGGTGCACAGATGTTATTAATTTGTTTACTTTTTTTTTTGAGACCGTCTTGTTGTGTCACCAGGTGCCAGGCTGGAGTGCAGTGGTGCAATCTTAGCTCACTGCAACCTCTGCCTCCTGGGTTCAAGCAATTCTCCTGCCTCAGCCTCCCAAGTAGCTGGGACTACAGGCACACGCCACCACGCTCAGCTAATGTTTGTATTTTAGTAGAGACGGGGTTTCACCATATTGGCCAGGATGGTCTCAATCTCTTGACCTCGTGATCCACCCGCCTCAGTCTCCCAAAGTGCTGGGATTACAGGTGTGAACCACCGCACCTGGCTACTTTATTTTTATTTTCTGAGATGAAGTTGCGCTCCTTCATCCAGGCTGGAGTGCAGTGGTCCAATCTCAGCTCACTGCAACCTCTGCCTTCCGGTTTCAAATGATTCTCCTGTCTCAGCCTCTGGAGTAGCTGGAGTTACAGGAGACCACCACCATGCCTGGCTAATTTTTGTATTTTTAGTAGAGATGGGGTTTCATCATGTTGACCAGACTGGTCTCCCTGGCCTCGTGATCCACCTGCTTTGGCCTCCAAAAGTGCTGGGATAACAGGTGTGAGCCACTGCACCTGGCTGTTTACTTATTTTTAAAAATAGGTTCTCCCTCTGTCTCCCAGGCTGAATAGTGGTGTGATCATAGCTCACCCGACTCTAACAAAAGAAAAAAAAAAAAATAGCCAGGCATGGTGGCATGCACCCGCAGTCCTAACTGCTCCCGAGGCTGATGGGAGGATCTCCTGATCCCAGCACTTTGAGGCTGCAATGAGCTATGATCACATCACTA